CTTGTCAATCTGGAGCCGCTGATCCGGGAGCGAACCTGCGCTGTACTCGACGCTCTGCCAGAAGGCGAAACCTTTGATTGGGTGGACACCGTCTCTATCGAGCTGACCACCATGATGCTGGCCACCCTGTTCGACTTTCCATTCGAAGATCGACGCAAGCTGACACGCTGGTCAGATATAACCTTCGCGGTGCCCCAACCTGGCGGAATTGTGGAATCTATTGAACAACGGCGCGACGAGCTCCTGGAATGCCTTGAGTATTTCACCAGACTCAGACACGAACGCGTTTCCAACCCAGGCAGCGATCTTGTGTCGATGCTGGCCAATGGCGAAGACACTAAGGACATGCCGCCAATGGAGTATCTAGGCAACCTCCTGCTGTTGATTGTTGGCGGCAACGACACCACACGCAACACCATGTCAGGCAGTATCTACGCACTCAATAAATTCCCCGAGCAATATGACAAACTGGTCGCAAATCCGAAACTGATCCCACAAATGGTCGCTGAAGTCATTCGTTGGCAAACCCCGCTGTCCTATATGCGCCGAACAGCGAACAACGACTGCACGATTGGCGGCAAACAGATTCAAAAAGGCGACCAGGTGCTGATGTGGTATGTCTCTGGCAACCGTGACGCAGATGTTTTTGATAATGCGGATGAACTGGACATCGAACGCCCCAATGCTCGGCAGCATCTTTCTTTCGGATTTGGCATACACCGTTGCATGGGCAACAGGCTCGCTGAGCTGCAACTGCGCATATTATGGGAAGAGATTCTGGCACGGTTCGAAAAAATTGACGTACAGGCAGAACCAGAGCGTACGTTTTCTTCGTTTGTGAAGGGCTACACTTATTTGCCCGTTAAAGTCACACGCAAAAGCAGTGTCTGAGCAGATTAAATCCAAATCGGAGTCGCGAGGTGGAGATGAGTAACCATAATTCAAGTGCAGCCTACAACCAGAAGGCGATCGCCACTGCGGCTAAACTCGCTCAAGCAAGATCTAATGGCAGCACCCCTTCGAAATCGCACGCACCTGATCGCAGCACTCTGTTCCCGCAACATAACTTATCCGGCTTGGGTGTCGCGCTGGAGTATGAGGCGATGGGTGATCAGCCGGTATCAGACCAGCTGGCAGCACAGGCAGACCAGCTGGGCGTTGAATTTGAACACCTAGGCTTAACGTTGGGTACCGTGCTGCACAACATTGATCTGAAGCAGCTGTCCAACCCCGCCCTGATCGACCTCGTTCACGCCACTTTGCTGGAACGCAAAGTTATTTTCTTTCGCGACCAACATCTTACCGAAGATCAGCAGGTGGCATTCGCGCGTGAGTTTGGCGACCTGGACGCTTTTCCTTTTGGCGCGCCAGGCAAGAATCCATACATTCTGGAAATTCATCACAATAAATACAGCCCCGGCATGGAAAACAGCTGGCATACTGATGTGACCTGGATGGAAAAGCCGTCTCTGGGTTCGGTTGCACAATGTATTGTCGTCCCGCCTTACGGCGGTGATACGCTGTTTGCTGACAGCGCAGCGGCATACCATGGTTTAAGAGACGAACTGAAAGAAAGACTGGCGTACCTGGAAGGCATCAACGACTATCGCATTTTTATCTCCGGGCGCGCCGCCCAAGCCTGGCCGGAATCGTTAGTCGAGGAAATTAAAGGGGACATCCCGTTTGGTGTCAGTCATCCGTTACTGCGCACGCACCCAGAGACCGGCAAAACAGGCCTGTACATACACGGCGGCTTTCTACGCCACGAGTCTTTGTTCGATAACCGTACCAACGAACCCCTTGGCGCAGACGCTTCCAGAGCAATCGTGCAGGAATTGTTGAGCCAGCACGGTCGCGCTGAATACATGTGCCGCTTTAAATGGACACCAGGTTCAATTGCTTTCTGGGATAACCGGGCTGTACAACATTATGCCGCCAGCGACTACTATCCCCATGAGCGGCTACTGCGTCGTGTCACCATCAGCGGCGACAAACCCTACTATCAACCTTCGTCAACACCCTCAACATAAGCCCCGGGCTGTGGCCAGGTGATACTGAAGGCACCTCGTAACGAACCGATTTCGTAACCTCTCGCCTGATCATAGGGATAGTCAAGGTCCAACTGCCTGGCAAGATCACCCTCCGGAACCTGCCCGTGACAGGTCAGACATAAACCGCCGGTTCGGATGGCTTGCATATATCGCACGTCGCCAGAAGACTCAGCATAGAACTCCACGCGTTTATCCGTGGCCTGTACCTCGGGTTGAAAGTAACTCATCAGGACCTCAACCTGCCAGGGTTCTGGCGCATTAATCGCGTTACGCGTTTGCAGGCTGGTGCGGGCAACTTTCGCGCCCGTTTCGCGCGAGAGCTTTGATGCGATCCTTGGGGCCTCTTCCTTACATACGTCGATCGCATGTATCGGCCCACCCTGTGCCAGAGCTGATTTCAACTCGAGCTGCAGTTCCGACGCAAAGCGCTGTGCTAACGCTCGACTTGTGTCGAGCAGCGGCTCTTCCCGGGCCAGGCTGTAAGGCGCTGCAATTACACTACCCAGGAAAGTCATAAGCATCAGGAAACCAGGTCTCTGCAACATCTGCTTGTTCCTCATTGTTTCTGTCCACTGCAAGTCTGCCATAACAATGTCTGAATCAGTCAAACTGACGATAGGCTCTGTTTAAAAACGGATTACCCAGGCTCAGGTAGATCGACTTTTGACCACCTTCGGAAAACCCCGTCGCCAGATAAACCGGGCCAATGGGCGAGTTGAGACCTGCGTACAACGACCCCGCCGTGATCCAGTTGTCCGGACCTTCATGAAAAGCACTGTTCCAGGTGTTGCCTACTTCAACACTTGCACCCACAAATAGAGGCACCTTAGACCTCACAATATCTTTAGATCCATTCAAGCGTAAAAAACCAATATGCTGGCCGCGAAATCGTTCGACCGGATGACCAGACAGGCGTCCCAGACCACCTAAAATAAAGTAGCTTTGAATCGGCGCATCATCTTCAACCGTTGCGCCAACAATTGTCGCAACAGTGAACTGCCCGCTGCCGATCTTAAATGCCTTAATCGCCGCTGCATGAACCTGTTGGTAATTCTCCCCGCCAGTCACACCACCTGATTCAAGCGCGGTAATCCGAATCAGAGAACCATCCGACGGCCGATTAGTCCGATTGAGGGTATCGTGACGATACGTAAGAGAGAACTCACCAATATCAAATTTCTCGGTGGGGATATCAAAAAAACCAACAAATTCACTCGCAGTACCCCACAACCGTTGCCAGGCCAGCTCAACTTCAGATGCGCTGCCAAGTTGCCGGCCGATGGAAGCCGTGCCGCCTGATTCCTGCACTCGCAGTTCACCGACAGGGTCATCATCGTCAACATACAACCGGATATTATTGCGCTCGTAGCTCGCCTCAAACCGGGAGAACAATCGGCCATCAGGCGTCCACGGCTGAGACCATTGCGAGCTGATACCCTGTTGAGCCCCCAGATTCAGGCGCGTACGCCATTGAGCGCCCAGTGCATTCAGTCCTGTCTTCAGATAGGCGACACCAATATTAAAATTTGCGTCTGAGGAAAAGTCTTCTTCCAGCTGCAGGCCAAATTGAAGATAGTCTGGCCCCCAGGCTTTCGCCTGCGCATCAATCGCCAGGCCTTTTTTACCGTCACGCTCGATCAGAGCGTAATCAATACTTTGGTACAAACCGGAACCGTAGAGGCGCGAAATACGCTGATCCAGTACCCTTCGATCATAGGGTTCCGGCACTTCGATACCCAACCTGGCCTGCACAACGTCTGCACTGAGCCCTGAGTTATCCGTAACGTCAACAAACTCAATCATCGGGCGGTCAGCTATTGCCGCCGACAAAATCACCGGCTCACGCTGATTCTGGGCCGTTATGGCTGCAAGCGTCTGTAACTCGTTCGATACCGACTGGCTGGCCACATAGCCGGGCTCCATTGCTTCAAGAACATTCGCAAAGTCCAGGGTGTCGATCTCCTGCACATCAGGCCGGATCATAATATCTGTGGGCGCAAGCGTTGCTATCTGCTCGTCGGCATTGCGACGAGTGATCATATTAACAATCTGTTGGGTCACACTTAATACAGAATCAATATCCTTTCGCCTGAGCAGAGGCGAGGTGATATCAACTGCAATGACGCGATCGGCGCCCATCTGTCGGGCCACATCAATAGGCAGATTGGCAGCAATGCCCCCATCTACCAGATAGTGACCACCTACCTCGACGGGTGCAAACACACCCGGCAGAGACATACTGGCCCGTACACTCAAGGCAAGATCACCGTGTGCCATGACAACCGCTTCACCACTGGTCAGTGATGTCGCAACCGCTCGAAATGGAATCTCAAGCTGATCAAAATCGATTACCCCTTCACTTCGCTGTAGCAGCCGCCTCAACAGCTGGGTGACTTTCTGCCCTTGTGTAACACCAAGAGGTAACTTCAGCTGCCCGTTCGAAAAACCCATCCTCGCCTGTACGAGGAAATCAAAGTCATCGCGCTTCATCTCTATCGGCACACTACCGCGTGCCGGTTCGTCCCTCAGCACATCATCCCAGTCAATCGCGGCAATGGCAGCTTCGATCTCATCAGCTGTCAAACCGGTTGCATACATGGCGCCAATGATGGCGCCAACACTGGTACCCACTACGTAGCTGACTTTAACGTTGTGTTCTTCAAGTGCTCTGATGACGCCAATATGCGCACCACCTTTGGTGCCGCCGCCGCTGAGCACCAGACCCACTTCGACGGGCTCTGCAAATGCACTCCATACTGGCAAGCAGCACAACAGCAGGCTGGAAAGTATTCTCATTTAGGATCGACTCGATTTTCGCTGAAGACGAATCCTGGCGTATGAGCTGGCCAATGAGAAGGGTTAACAGAAAATTTTCGGTAACACCGCCTTTTGCAGAACGCTGCCGACAGGCGTTACCCTGAGAGGTTCTGAAACCAGGGGAAACAGACCATGCCAGAGCGTTATGTCACCATCGAACGAAACGGTCCGCTTGCACTCGTACGATTTGATCGCAAAAAGAATCTGAACGCTTTTGACAGCCAGCTTATTCTTGAGCTCACCGACGTTGCCAGGTCGTTCCACGATGACCTGGACACCAGAGCCGTTGTACTGACCGGCTCAACCGATTATTTCTCGGCCGGCGCTGATCTGGAAGACCTGGCTTCCCGCAATGACCCAAACCTTTCCGACCTGGAAAGGCGGCAGATATTCTATCGCGGCGGCAGGTTGTGCGATGCCTGGGAGTCCATGCCACAGATCACCATCGCGGCTATGGAACGACTTGCAGTCGGTGCCGGTGTAGCTTTACCGCTGGCATGCGACTGGCGGGTGATGGGAAAAAGTGCCTACCTCTACGTACCCGAGGCTAAAATCGGCCTGAATCTGCAGTGGGGGGCGCTGCCTCGACTGATAAACCTTGTTGGGCCAGCCCGTGCCAAGCGCATATGCCTGTTGTGCGAACGTATGGATGCACAAACCGCGCTTAACTGGGGGCTTATTGAAGAAATCGCGGCTGACGGAGAAGCGGCAGATGTGGCCATGGAACTTGCGCGTCGGGTTGCAGAAATTCCACCGGTAGCAGCCAGTATGATTAAGGAAGCGGTCAACTCCACGACGACTGCGCTCAATCGCATTGCCAGTTACGCCGATGCAGACCAGAGCCAGCTCAGCGCAGCAACCAAAGATGCCCGTGAAGCCAGCGACCGTTTCAATAAAAAGTAGTAATCTTTGGGCGGGTCAGAAAAAATGACGGACGCTCACACGCAACACCTGGGGAGACCAACAGTGCAAGCCATCAAATATGTAGATGCTCTGAATAACCATTATCGATCCATGGGTAATCCACCTTACCGCTGGACTGTCAATGAGTCTGCACCCCTGCACCGACTCAACAAACCTTTGCAGGATTGCACCGTCAGCCTGCTCACCTCAGGCGGCGTTTCACAATGTGCCATGCCAGCCTTCAACCCGGATGCACGCAACGATCATCGTCTGGATGCGATTGATCAACATGCACCAGCTGATGACTTTCAGATCCACGACAGCTACTACGACCATCGTGATGCTGAACAAGACATCAACTGCATTTTTCCAATCGAGCGGCTGCGAGAACTGGCCGCTAACGGTGAGATAGGCCAGGTCTCCGAGCGCCTCTGGAGCGGATTCATGGGTCGTATCTACAACCGCAGCAAAGTTATGGAAGAATCGGCCCCGGCATTTGCCGCTGCCCTACGGGAAGACAATGTCGACGTGCTGATTGCCGCGCCGAGCTGACCACTTGATCACCAGACCGTGGGTCTGGTTTGTCGCACGCTCGAAGAACAGGGTATTGCAACTGTCTACATCGCTACCGGCAGAGACCTTACTGCCCTGGTAAAACCGCCACGAGCCTTATTCGTCAATCATCCGATGGGCAATAATTTTGGTCGGCCCGGTGATACCAACATGCAGCTGGACATATTGCGCACCGCACTGGGTATGCTCGACAGCGTGACAGAGGGCGGCACCCTGGTCGACTACCTAACCACCTGGACTGACACATTCGAGTTCGCGCCGGGCGGCAACGCTAGCGCTGCAGAAGTTTAGGCGGCTCATCCCGGTGAAAACCGTTAAAGGTTTTTATATTGCGCGCTTCACCGGGCTGAAATACAAAACTACCCGCACCGTTGTGAATACCACCGTCGACTCTGAAATCAGCGCCGGTCACATATGCAGCCATTTCTGACAGAAGAAACACAACCATCGCTGAGATTTCCGCTGCCGTGCCATGTCGGGCCAGCGGAATCCTACGATCAATACCAACCAGCGCATCCCAGTCTTCTTCGGGATACCGGTCCAGACCAGTCGTGGCAATAAATCCCGGAATGACACAATTCACCCTTACCCCGGATCGCCCCCATTCTGTTGCTGCGGTAAACGTGAAGTTCGACAGTCCCGCCCGAGCAGCACCATTGTGCCCCATACCCGGCATGCCCGACTCATAGTCCGCACCAATATTGACAATACTGCCGCCACGTTCGCTCATACACTGCTTATAAATTTCCCGAGCCACCAGAAAATAGCTGGTCAGATTGTTATGCAGCACCGCGTTCCATGCATTCAGGCTCATGTCTTCCAGGCGCGCCGGGAACTGCCCGCCCGCGGCATTCACCAAGCCATCAACTGGTCCGTGCTGTTGGATCACGCTGCTGACCAGGTCGATCACTGCGGATTCATCACGCAGTTCGACAGCATGGCAACCCAGAACGACACCACCATCAGCAACAATCTCAGCCCTGGTACGTTCAAGCTTCTCCATGGTTCTACCCGCCAGCACCAGATTTGCGCCAAGACTGGCAAGTTCATGGGCTATACAGCGACCCAGACCGCCTCCCCCACCGGGTACAAATATTGTCTGTCCCTGGAAAAGTCCTGCTCTGAATCCAGATTGATAACTCACGCGTTTCCTCCGTTGATGACTAGGCCTACATACTCGGGCAAAGCACAATAAAGTGGTAGCCTATGCCTAAACTTGCAGCCCAGGACACACAGACAATGTCAGACAACACCAAGCGCCCGGATACCGTTCGCCTGCAGAGGATTGCCAAAGGTTTCTGGGAGTCAGCCGCATTAATGAGTGCCGTAGAACTTGGCGTGTTTACCGCCATTGCCAACGGCAGCAATACCATCGAATCCGCCGCTGCCGCTTTAAAGATTGAACCTGTCAACGCTGAACGATTACTCACCGTTCTGACTGCAATGGAACTGATCATTCGAAACGGTGAACAGTTCAGTAACACCGAGGATGTCGATCGCTTTCTGGTTGAAGGGAAACCGACTTACGCGGGTCCCTGGATGTTATTTGGCAAACCGCGCTGGGAAGCCTGGGGCCATCTTACTGAACACCTTCAGGTGCGAGCAGCGGATCAACGTGTGCTCGGCATGTACGATAATACGTTTACCGTTGAGCGCGCACGTGAATACCACGAGGCTACCTATTCCATCGGCATGGGCGCGGCACGTCGATTCCATCGACAGGTCGATTTGAGTGGACGCAAAAAAATCATGGACCTTGGCGGCGGCTCAGGCTGCTACTGCATAGTGGGTGCACAACAGCACCCGGGCTTGAAAGCGGAGGTGCTTGATCTACCGCCGGTTGTGGTTGTCACACGGGAGTATTTACAGGAGAACGGCGTCGATCAGGATGTGATCGCAACGGCCTGCGACTTTACCAGCGACCCACTGCCGCAAGACGCAGACGTGGCAATCATGGCATCCAATCTGCCCCAATACAGCCGACCAATCATCGCCGATGTTGTACAACGGGTTTACGACGCCCTGCTGCCCGGTGGTGAATTCCATCTGATCGGAGAAATGCTGGATGCCGACGGGAGCGGACCGATTGCCCCTGCACTTTGGGGGTTATCTGAAGCCGTCAGCCACTCCACCGGCCTGGCACACTCAGTTTCAGACTGTTCAAACTACTTTTCTGCGGTCGGCTTTACCCATATCAAGGTTGCAGAGTTCATACCGGGTACGCTGACGCGAGTCAGCGGCATCAAACCAGGCTAACGGTTATATTACGTGGCTTCGCAGTAAGATCTCCAACCGCCATATGAAGTGATCTCTCGCTGACCATCACACAGGATCGCTTCACCCAGAACACCCAGCACTTCATCGCCATCAATGAGCTGGACCTTGCCAACACACAAACCCGGTGGTTCCTGCAGAAGTACCTGGGCTAAACCCGCAGCAGGCACTTCCCAGACTTCAAGGGCGACGGAAACACCACCGGAGGCAACCCGCTGCATAGCTGGGTGGACATCACCAATCGACCAGATGCGATACGCAGGTTCAGTTGCAGACTCGCGCAGAAACTTCGCGCCCACATCCAGCAGATTAGGGTTAAGCTCCAGCCCCCGCATCAGGGTCCCGTTGACCGCAAACTTCACTACATTGCTCATAAGTTGCGAAGCGTTTCGTTAGAACGGAACGGCATGGTCAGTTGCATATATATGGATAGCGCCTTACCGGTGCCGTTACCAATGGCTTCAAGCTCAGTTTTTCCGGAGAACGTGCCAAACAGTCGATCCCACAGAATAACTGAACAGCCGAAATTGGTATCGCTTTCTGAGCGCTCTTTGGAGTGATGTAATTGATGCCATTCAGGTGTAGTGAAGATCAATCCGTAAAAACCTGAGCGCAACGGCAGGTTGGCATGATTGGTATAGGCAGAAAAAATCCGGAATGTCAGGGCAACCGCAACCACTGCATCACTGGCACCGAGGAAGGCCAGGGTCATTGCTGGCCCCAGATTGAGAGCGAGGAATTCCAGCGGATGCGTTCGATCAGCGCGTGCCGCGCTCATTTTCGTGATGTGATGATGGGTTGCATGCATACGCCAGAAAAACATCACGCGATGCTGCAGGCGGTGCAACCAGTAGTAAATAAATTCGGAAACAAATATACCTGCGAGCGCCGCAGCCATAAGACCGAGCGTGGTGGTTGCATCCAGAGAAAAGGGTACAAAGCTGGCTTCACGCAACCAGACAAAGGCATCAGATATCGGAGTGTCGTAAAAGTCGCCATATAGTGGTGCCCAGATGATGTAAACACAGCCCACCCAGAAGACGTCTTCCGCAAATTCTTTCCAATTCAGCAGCCAATCTCCTCGCTTGGGAGCGAATCGTTCCGCTATCAGCAACATGGGGATAGGACAGAACAGAAGTATTGAGGTTAGCTGGTCTGCTTCTGTCCAGCCCGTAATATAGGCGGTTGCCACCATGAACATGGCGCCAAATACAACCAGTGGCTGTACAAGCGTCAGTAAGAAAGCGCCTGACGAACGGTTCTGCTGCCGCTCCAAACTTTCTGTTTGCATATCAAATACCCTATTTGTTTTGCCCTGCAGCGCCTGGGGGCGCCTGTTACTGCGTCATCCAGGTTAGAGTGGATACTCTTCACTCGCCGCAAAGCGGCGATAGCCTTCGGTCATAGCCCGCGCACAATCGCCTGGCGTAGGACCACCGTCAAAAAAACCTTTACACGGACCGTCCATGACTTCCGGCATCTCTTTAACGACCCAGTCAAAAGCCTGATAGTAGATTGGCTGATCATTGGAATCGGTCTCCACTTTCACAACCTGCCCTGCGTCAAACGTGATGGTAAAGGTATCAGTGACATTAAAGTTTGTCTTTAACGCCAATACCGGGTCGTCCTCTACGGTAATCGCACACTGGACAACATTTTCCGACACTGCAGTACAAGGTGTTCGTTGTATAATTTTATAATTACCCCCCTCAGCCCAACCCTGATAGAACATCAGTGCCGGTGCCGAGGCTCGGGCTTGCGGATGCACAAGAAAGGATTCGAGCATCTCGGGCTGGAATGAGTAAAACGCATCGATGAGTGCTTCCGCCGTGGCGAGAATACCCGCCGGGGCGTCCTGCTGCTGAAGATCGGGAGATTCCGCGCACGCACCCAGGCATCCCGCAACTAAGAGTAGCTTGGCACTTTTTGAACACATCTGATTTGTCCCTGATAAATCCGTCGTCTGTCTGCTGCACTGCGTTGCATCACTCGTCAGCACACTGCATGAAAACCTACCATGCAATTCCCATGCACACTATGAGAAGTATCAATATCGCGCGCTACAGCCCTGCTATTTTTTACACGGCGTTCGCTGTGATCACTATGAGTGCGCCACACACCTGTGCGCACCAGAAAGCGGCATCGATCCGAGATGGCATGGATCCTGCTGTGCGTTTCTATCATTCATTCTGACAGAGGCACCTCAATGGAACCGCTTCCGCCGAGCGCGCAATCCCTGCAACCTGGCAATGGCTATCGACTGCCCGCCGAAGCCTACTATGACCAGGCATGGTTCCATCGCGAGCAGAAACAGCTGTTCCGGCGCAGCTGGAATTTTGTAGGTGAGACACGGGATATCCCCCAGGTGGGCGACTACCTTACCGCTACCATTGGCGGCAGCCCCATTGTTGTTGTACGCGGAGAAGATCAAAAATTGCGCGCCTTCCACAATGTCTGTCGGCATCGCGGCGCACAGCTGCTGGATGCGCAAGGCAACTGCAACGCCATTGTCTGCCCATACCATCGCTGGCAATACAAGCTCGACGGCAGCCTGCGCAATGTGCCGCAGCAGATCAAACAACTTCCGGCAATGAACCTCGATGAATGGGGGCTCATACCAGCCGCGCTCTCACAATGGCAAGGCCTTGTATTTGTTAATCCTGATAGCCAGGCCTCTGCTTTCGAAACCTGGCTGGCGGACATACCGGACCTGCTTGGATCTTTCGAACCGGATCGTCTGCGAGTTCTGTGCGAGGGGACCTTCGAATTCGCCGCCAATTGGAAGTTTTACGTTGAGAACCACGTCGACTGGTATCACCTGTGGTACACCCATCCGAAGAGTTTACGGATGTGGGAGCATCATCAGGGTGAGATGCTGCAATCTGGCGCGCATTGGGCTTCATTCGAACCTACGCGGCCAGGCTCCAGCAGCATGACACCAGAGCTCAAACCTATAGGCGGTCTGTCCGAACGCCAGCAACAGAACGGCGCGCACCTGCTTTTTCCCAACCTGACCCTGTTCACCGGCGCGACTTACTTCGCGACCGGCCTGGTTATGCCACTGGCACCGAACCGAACACAGATGCACTTTCGAGCGCTTGTTGAACCAGAACAGGTCACTTCGACAGAGATGGCACAGATCATGCTGCAAGCATTCCAGGAAATCACCGAAGTTGAGGATGCGGGTATGACAGAACGCCTCCAGGCAACGGTGCAATCCGATGCGTTTGCCGTAGGTCCGATGACCATGGATCACGAAGCCCCGATAGCTCGCCTGCATGACGAGTATCTAGCGGTTTTTAACGCCTGACATAAGCACTAATAAAGGGCGCTGATTTTCTCGATGCATAAAAACGCACCAGAAAAGAACGCGCTTAACACGGAAGGACTGTTCAACATGCCCGCGATATCAAAACTCCTGGCGACCTTGCTTTTCTGCCTGCTCTGCACCGGTGCAATGGCAGCAGAAAAGCCACGCTTTACTCTGGCCTGGTCAATATATGTGGGGTGGATGCCCTGGGAGTATGCCGATGCTACCGGCATCGTTGACCGTTGGGCCGATCGTTATGGTATCGAAATAGACATAGTGCAGATCAATGACTACATCGAATCTGTCAACCAGTACACCGCAGGACAATTTGATGCAGTGACCGCCACGAATATGGACATTCTCACCATCGCTGCAGCAAGTGGCGTTGACAGTACCGCGGTTATCGTCGGCGACTTTTCCAATGGCAATGATGCGGTTGTACTACGTGATAACAAACAGCTGGACGCTATTGAAAATCAACGGGTGCATCTGGTCGAACTTTCCGTTTCTCACTATCTGCTTGCGCGGGCGCTGGATTCAGTGGGCCTGTCCGAACGCGACATTACCCTGGTTAACACATCTGATGCAGATATGGTCAGCGCCTGGGCAGGCACCGGCGTGCCTGCGGTCGTGACCTGGAACCCCATGCTTGCCGAAATTCGTGATATGCCGTCTGCAAACGTGGTCTTCGATTCCAGCCAGATACCCGGCGAAATACTGGATCTGACCATTGTCAACACGCAGACACTGGCTGCGCACCCGGAGCTCGGCTATGCGCTGGCAGGCGCCTGGTATGAAGCCGTCACGCAGATGCTCGCTGAAGAGACCAGTGCGGCTGTTCAGCAACACATGGCCGCTGCATCCGGCACAACCCTCGCCAGTTTCCAGCGACAGCTGTCCACTACCCACATGTTTGCGGAACCCGCAGACGGTATCGCCTTTGTAAACAGTGACGCGCCACAACAAACCATGCAACGCGTTGCTGAATTTTCCTACGACAAAGGGCTGCTTGGCCCGATGGCACCCAATGCCGGATTTGTTGGCATCGAGTTCGCCGACGGTGCCATCTGGGGGAATGAACAAAACGTGCAGCTTCGGTTTACCAATCGTTTTATGGCACCCGATGCAAACAAACCTGCACCGTGATGACATCTGATCTGCTGACACCAGGCAAAGAAGTAAAATTATGCGTCGCCTGATCAACCAGAGGCCAACGCGCTGGCTCGGCACCGTACTGACACTGCTGCCTTTCGTTGCGCTGCTTGTTTTCTACCAGATCTCTTCCAGCGCCCGCCTTGCCGAGAACGCCCAGGACAGAATGCTGCCCAGTTTCAGCACCATGGGCAATTCAATGTATACCATGGCATTTACAGAAGATCGGCGCACCGGGAACTACCTCTTCTGGACCGACACGATGGCAAGCATGCAACGGCTGGCCGCCGGGGTGGGAACCGGAGCATCTCTGGGCCTTCTTCTTGGCGTTCTGGCTGGCCTGATCCCTCTGGCCAGAGCATCTCTGTCGCCATTTCTCGCAGCCATTGCCATGGTGCCACCGCTTGCTCTGCTGCCCATTCTGTTTATTGCGCTCGGGATCGACGAATTATCAAAAGTGGTGCTGATTGCCATCGGTGTAGGGCCGTTTATTGCCCGAGATCTCGAAGCACGCATCCGCGAAATGCCGATGGAAGAATTAATCAAAGCGCAGACGCTTGGCGCCGGTACCTGGCGCACGCTGTGGCGGGTGGTATTGCCGCAGATGATGCCGCGCCTGTTAGACGGCGTAAGACTTTCGCTGGGAGCGGCCTGGTTGTTCCTGATTGCTGCTGAAGCGATCGCTGCAACTGAGGGCCTCGGTTACAGAATCTTTCTGGTGCGCCGCTACCTGGCGATGGACATCATTCTGCCCTATGTCGCCTGGATCACCCTGCTGGCGTGGTTGACAGATTATGGCCTGCGTAGATTGAAAGACATGATCTTTCCCTGGCAGGCCCTTGAAGACAAGGCGGAACCGCAACCATGAGTCACCTGCAAATTCAGGACTTATACAAGTCCTACGATGACACGGTCGTATTAGACGGCATCAACCTGGACCTTGCTTCCGGGGAGTTCTGTACCATCGTTGGCGCATCTGGCTGCGGTAAAAGCACTCTGCTTAAGCTTTTGTTAGGCCAGGAAGCACCTACCTCTGGCAAGCTTCTGCTCGACGGCAAACCGTTGCCCTCAGAGCCTTCAACCGAACGCGGCATCGTTTACCAGAGATATTCCGTATTCCAACATCTGACCGCTGCACAGAACGTGCGCCTGGGGCTTGAACTGAGAGATGGAGATCGGATCTTCGGCTGGTGTTTCGGCGCTCGGCGACGCGCGATTCGTGCACAAGCACTGGCACTGTTAGAAGCTGTTGGTTTAGCTGATGCCGCTGATCGATATCCGGCGCAACTTTCCGGGGGTATGCAACAACGCCTGGCGCTTGCACAGGCTATCGCACGACAGCCACCACTGCTGTTGCTGGATGAACCATTCGGCGCCCTCGACCCTGGCAACCGAAGCGCCATGCACGCATTAATGCGTGAACTGTGGCTGGGCACAAACATGACCGTGGTCATGGTCACACATGACTTACCCGAAGCTTTTGGATTGGGTACACGGATGCTTGTACTCGATAAACCGGCGCTAAAAGAAGGTAAGCAACCCGGCGCGCAAATCACTTTTGATTTACCCCTGCACAAGGTCTCAGCAAACACGCCGGACCCAGCATTTGATGACGTTGAGAAAACCCCATGACAGACACCCATTCAATTCCAAACTTAGGCCCCGCAGTGCTGGAGGAACGCCTGCCAGCGGGATGTCACTTCTCTCTGGTTGTGCGGCGCGGCTATACACTGCGCCTGACCGATATCAGCGGCGGTGCCAACGTGGGCTTGCTTGCTTTCAACCAGGATGAGAAAAGCGAGCGCTACAACATGGCGGACACGCTTAAGGCGCAGCATGTCTCCCATCTTGCGGCACCGCTGGTTCTGTATTCAGATATGGGACGGGTGCTGATGTCCATGACCCACGACGACTGCGGCTGGCATGACACGATCTGTGGCACTACCACTGCAGCAATGATAGCGGAACAATATGGTGAACTGGATTTCCAAACTGCCCGCAATGGTTACCAACGCAATGGCCGCGATGGGTTCCTGGTAGAACTGGGTCGTTGGGGATTGTCACGAAGGGATCTGGTTGCAAATGTAAATCTGTTCAGCCGGGTGGTAACCGATGATGAAGGCAATATGTCATTTGTTGCCGATAACTCACCACCTGGTTCCAGCGTTGACCTACGCGCCGAATTAAATTGCCTGGTGGCAATAAACAGCGCACCACATCCATTGGCAACTTATGACACCTATCCTGACGGCGACGTTGTGTTGTCGGTCCACTGGACCGGCTCCCCCGCAGCAGACGACCCTTGCCGACTCTCACGACCGGAAAACGAACGTGGCTTTCGCAACAGCGAAGCCTGGTTTGCTCAACCCTCAGAAGGTATACAAGCATGAGCGATCTCAAACAGCTATCGAGCACAGTCATTCGCGCCGGCGAACCGTTTCTGGCACGAATAGAAGCAGGACAACATTGCAGAATTGTAGACACTAAAGGCAACGAAGCTGTTGATGCCTTCTTTTTTAATGCCGACAACCCGATCGAACGCTACTCTGCTGTGGACACCATCCGCGCTCAACGCAACGTTTATCTGACAAAAGGATCAACACTTTTATCCACTGAAAACGAGGCGATGCTGACCATCGTCGAAGATACCGTAGGACGACACGACACGTTGGGTGGTGCCTGTGCCTCTGAAAGCAATACAGTTCGTTACGCACACGAAAAAAAATTCATGCACAGCTGTCGGGATAACTTCCTGCACGCACTTTTAGCCTGGAGTGATGACTTAACCAAACGTGACATTGGCAGCAACATCAACTTCTTCATGAACGTACCCATCACACCGGAAGGCGGCTTATCATTCGCCGATGGTATTTCAGGTCCAGGGCAGTACGTTGAGCTTGTTGCACACATGAACGTTCTTGTACTGATTTCCAACTGCCCGCAGCTTAACAATCCCTGCAGCGGCTTTGATCCGACCCCTGTCGAATTTGAGATCTATACCCACAACTGACACCAGCCCACGGCAACTATTTTGAGCCTTTTATGACAACTCCGATTCGACGTGTACTTATCGCAAACCGCGGTGCGATCGCTACCCGTATCCAACGCACTTTGAAGAATATGAACATCCAGAGTGTCAGCGTGTTCGCTGAGGTAGATCGAGCTTCCCTGCACGTGGCCGATGCAGACTACGCCGTGAGCCTTGGCGAGGGCAGCGCCAGCGACACATATCTCAATTCTGCAAAGCTGCTTGAGATTGCAGCCAGATTCAAAGTCGATGCTATCCACCCGGGTTATGGCTTTCTTTCAGAAAACTCTAGTTTCGCTGAGGCCGTCGAGGCGGCCGGCATCCTTTTCCTGGGACCAACGCCGACACAGATTGAAGCATTCGGCTTAAAACACGAAGCCAGACGGTTAGCGCAGGAGGCTGATGTCCCTCTTCTATCTGGTTCCGGCTTGCTTGCCTCCCTCGATCATGCGCTAACCACCGCTGAGTCTATTGGCTGGCCTGTCATGCTTAAAAGCAGTGCTGGGGGCGGCGGTATCGGCATGCGCGCCTGCGCGGACGCTGATACGCTTCGTGCAGCTTACGAGGCTGTGGCAAACCAGGCCGCCAGCAGTTTTGGTGACAGCCGATTATTTGTCGAGCGCTTTGTAGAATCCGCGCGTCATGTTGAGGTTCAAGTTTTTGGCGACGGCAAAGGTGGCATAGCTATTCTGGGCGATCGTGACTGCTCCATGCAGCGCCGCAATCAAAAAGTCATCGAAGAAGCGCCAGCGCCAACGCTACCAGGCAATGTGCGCAGCGCGATGCATGCTGCCGCGCGACGGCTGATGGAACGCATTGCCTACCGATCTGCGGGAACGGTTGAATTTCTATATGACGCAGACCGGCAGGACTTTCACTTTCTGGAAGTCAATGCACGCCTGCAGGTCGAACATGGCGTGACCGAACTGGTTACTCGTATTGATCTGATCGAATGGATGGTACGCCTTGCACAAGGAGAACAGGACTTCATGCATGAACCCGATGTACAGGGCCATGCTATCCAGGTGCGTTTATACGCCGAGGACCCTATGCGTGATTTCAGGCCCGCACCCGGACTCATCAGTGCCTTGTCATGGCCTGCTGAAGAAACCGGCCTGCGCATCGACACCTGGATTGAATCCGGACTCACCGTGCCTGCCGCATTTGATCCCATGCTCGCCAAGATCATTGCTCATGGTCAGGACCGTCAACAAGCTCGCGAACGTCTACGCAACGCTATTCGGCATACCCGCGTAGACGGCCTGGAGACTAATCTAGCCTTCCTGCGTGAAGCACTTGCTTTGCCGGATTTTATCAATGGCCATCAGACCACTAACAGCACGACCACCGTAGAACTGTCTGCGCGCAGTTTCGAAGTGCTCGCTCCGGGAACACAATCCAGTGTTCAGGACGTTGACGGTCGCACCGGCTACTGGCATGTGGGCGTACCACCGTCGGGTGCTTTCGACAGCCGGTCCATGGCCCGGGCTAACGCACTTGTCAATAACACAGCGAATACGGCTGGTTTGGAGATGCTTGCCAACGGCCCTACCCTGCACTTCACGTGCGAAGTAACAGCGGCTTTGTGCGGCGCATCAACACAAGCGACTATCGACGGCGCGATCGTCGCCCACGATGCAGCGTTCCATATTAAAGCTGGCCAGACCCTCGAAATTGGCAGAATCGCAGCAGATGGAGAAGGGTTGCGCGCGTATCTTGCGATCAGTGGCGGCATCGACGTACCGCTGGTGCTTGGCAGTCAGGCAACCTTTGATCTGGGAATTTTTGGTGGTCACGCCGGGCGTGCCCTGCGAACGGGCGACATCCTGGCGATCGGAACGCAGCCAGACTCAGCCCACCCTGGCACGCGCCCCGCACATTCGTTGACTGAGCGCACCCTGCTTCGAGTTGTACAGGGACCACACATCGCACCTGATTTTCTCAATAGTGATTTTCTTGACCTCTTCTACAGCACACCCTGGACGGTGCATTACAACTCTTCACGCACCGGCATTCGTCTGGAGGGACCAAAACCCGGTTGGGCACGCCTGGACGGGGGTGACGCTGGCCTGCATCCATCGAACGTCCATGACAACGCCTACGCTTTTGGCGCTATCGACTTCACCGGTGATATGCCCATTATTCTTGGTCCAGATGGCCCCAGCCTGGGCGGGTTTGTCTGTCCAGCCGCCATCGCAGAAGCAGACCGCTGGAAACTGGGGCAACTACGACCAGGCGATAGCATTACTTTTCAACCTATTTCGCTTGAAGAGTCTCAGAGTCTTCTCACCGAACCACACACGAGCACACCTGCAATCAAGTCCTGGCGAGCAGGCGCGCAAGATGTGATTCTGGAAACCAACAGCCGTCACGATGTTGTTATCCGCGCTGCGGGCGACAATTTTCTGCTGCTGGAGTTTGGCCCACCGGTACTGGACCTGGCGTCACGCCTGCGTGTTGAAGCCCTGCAGCGATGGCTGGAACAACAAGCTGATCCCGACATACTCGAAATGACGCCCGGCATACGCTCACTACAGTTTCGAATCCCCATCGGCGCAGACCGCAGCCAACTCCTGCAACTTATTGATGATGGGCTCACAGCGATCGGCGAAACCCGCGACCTGACAATCCCGGGACGCATTGTACATTTACCCCTTGCCTGGGATGACCCGGCAACCCAGGAAGCCACCGAAAGATACATGCAATCTGTTAGGGCTGATGCACCCTGGTGCCCGCGCAATATCGAGTTCATCCGACGTGTCAACGGCCTGACTGACGAGGCCGAAGTTAAAAGAATCGTCTACGATGCCAGCTATCTGGTACTGGGGCTGGGTGATGTCTACCTGGGCGCTCCAGTAGCGACGCCCATCGATCCACGCCATCGACTGGTCACTACCAAATACAATCCGGCGCGCACGTGGACACCTGAGAACGCTGTCGGCATCGGCGGGGCTTACCTGTGTATTTATGGCATGGAGGGTCCTGGCGGCTATCAGTTTGTAGGCCGCACTATCCAGGTATGGAATCGCTACCGTACTGACGGCGCGTTCGAACGCCCATGGTTATTACGCGGCTTTGATCAGCTGCGTTTCTACGAGGTATCCAACGAGGAATTAATGGAGTTGCGACGGGATTTCCCTTTGGGTCGCGCACCTCTGAAAATTGAACAAACAGAATTCAGCATGGCTGAACATGAAGCCTTTCTAACTCGAGAAGCCCACAGTATCGAGGCGTTTCAGACACGCCAGCACGTTGCTTTTGAAGCGGAGCGCGGACGCTGGGCACAACAGGGCTACGACCCGACGTCGACACCCCCGCCACCAGTTGCTCAAACCGTTGCCGATGATGCGAGCGGAACCCCCATGGAGAGCCCCGTTACTGGATCCGTGTGGAAGGTTATGGCCGAAGCAGGCGCAAGTGTCAGTGTAGGCGACGTTGTGATGATCATTGAGTCTATGAAGACTGAAATTGAGGTGCTTGCCTCTACCTCAGGGCTGGTAGAGACAATTCTGGCGAGCGCCGGTACGCCGGTTGAAGCCGGTCAAGCGGTTGCTTTGATCAGTCCAACGGCTTCATAACTCAGCAGAACCAGGTGCCACCACGGTGGCATAGTATTTCGCGTAACCTGCGGTCATCGCGCGAGCACAGTCACCGGGCGTCTTGCCACCATTATTGCGGTCTTTGCAAGGACCTGTCATAACCTCCGGCATGTTCTCGACCACCCACTTGCGCGCCTCATAGTAGATAGGCTGATCGTTAGAACTGGTTTCAATCGACACTATGTGCCCGTCCTCGAATGTCAGAGCAAACGTGTCCGTCACGTTGAAGCCTGTTTTAAGGGCCAGTACAGGATCGTCCTGCACGGTGATGGCACAACTCAACACTTCTGGCGTATCAGGCTGACAAGCTGCCCGATTGAGCACCTTGTAATTGCCACCTTCGGCCCAGCCCTGGTAGTACAGAATTCTTGGTGCTGAGTCATCAGCGTGCGCAAGGAAGGGCGTAAGCTGAGCGGGATCAAAAGAATAGAACGCATCAATAAAGCCTTCTGCAGTCTGCAGATTTTGAGCTTGCGAGACATCAGACTCGACATCCGACACCGCTACTGTAGCCATGGCATCCCATGCCTGCCATTCAATCGCGCGACCAGGATAGGCGACATTCTGCAACGGCCAGACATCCTCAACCCACTGGGTGACCCAACGATATAGCTCCGCATCAAAGCCTGCGTCGAATTCCGCTTTTGTCACCCACATTAGAACTTCAGCATCGAAACCCTGTTTGGAACTTGGCCGGACATACACACATCCTCTTTCACGCAAACCATCAGGGGTCAGCACAGCGTAGGCAAACGACTCACGATTCTGAAAGCGACTCTGCTCAGTTTCCATATCCAGCATCGCTTCCGCATCCGTTATGCCAGCCCTGGGCCAACTGGTGCTGCGGGTAAAGGTCTGTTGTAGATGCTCGATCGACGACATATAAGCGTCAAAATCAATTTTGACCAGTTCAGGCCCAAGCGGCACAAGTTGAAATCCATCAGCCTCCACGAGAGTCGGTACATCAAATTCAGCTGGCACCAGACTCGCTTCTGTGGAGGTTGGCGTTGGAGAAACCGTTGCAGGCTCGACAATTGGGCTGGATTCAACCACCTCTGTAGCAGCTGTTTCATCCGGAATCGACGGCGAGCATCCGCTTAGCAGTACCAAACCAGCAAGCGCAAAGACACCTCTGTTCATTTTGTTTTTTCTTATCAGCACGTTGTTCTCACCTGTTCAAAAAGCCCAACAAGCACTGCAAGAAATGGGCCCGCGTCCTTCCGCAATACGCTGAGCGCGCAGTCCTGCGCTTCGATGCCGCTGCGAAGAACGATCTACCGCCAGGCAATCAATCTGGTAATGCGCCAGAGTTGTGCGATTAGAGGATATGTTGCACCAAGACCGGGACAGCACACACTTTCAGCAGGACGCGACGCACCGCCA